CATCTTTGCCCTTTAGTTCCTTTGCCCTTGTGCTCTTTTAGCTTATTTCCACCTTGTTTGTTTTCTTTCTGTCTTCCATTTTTATTTTAAATTACTGCTCACAGATGCAGAAAGTACATGACTGGTACTAGCTGCAGAATTATGGAAATTAAATAAATCATGGGATGCTCAGTGTTAGAACCCTGATTTTTAAAAAATTGAGGCAGAATTCATGTACCCCAAAACTCACCCTTTTAAAGGGTATAGTAGTATGTTCACAAAGTTGTACAACCAAAACTACTCTCCAATTTCAGATTGTTTTCATCACTCCACTAAGAAACCCAGTACCCATTAATAGTCATTCTCTATTCTGTTGGCATGTAGTTATCCAGTTGTCCCAGCACAATTTGTTGAAAAGACTATTGTTTCCCCCACTTAACTGTCTTGGTACCCTTGTCAAAATCAATTGACCATAAATGTAAGGGTTTATTTTTGGACTCTCAATTCTATACCATTGATCTATATGGCTATTCTTATGCCAGTCCCACATTGTATTGTCTACTGTAGCTATGTACTAAGTTTTGAATCAGGAAGTGTGACTCATCCAACCTCTGTTCTTCTTTTTCAAAACTGTTTTGGCTATTCTGGATCTTTTGGATTTCTAAATGAATTATAGGACCAGCCTGTCAATTTCTGCAAAAAAGTCAGCTAGGATTTTGATAGAGATTACGTCGAATCTGTAAATCAATTTGTGGAGTATTGCTACCTTAACAATATGCCTTCCAGTCCATAAACATAGGATTTTTCCCATTTATTGAGGTCTTCCTTAATTTCTTTCAACAATGTCTCGTAGTTCTCAGTATTGAGGTCTTATATTTCTTTCACTAAGTTTATTCCTAGATATTTTATTCTTCTGGATGCTATTGTAAATGAAATTGTTTTCTTAGTTTCACTTTGGGATTGTCCATTGCTTGTGTACAGAAGTACAATTGATTTTTGTATATTGATCTTGTATCCTACAACCCTGCCATGCTTGATTATTTGTTCTGATAGTTTTTTAGTGGATTCCTTTAGGGTTTTCTATAAAATATGTCATCTGCAAATGATTTCACTTCTTTCTAATCCAGATGCCTTTTATTTCTTTTCTTGCCGTATCACCCTGGTTCCTGCCCTTTTAAAGCTTATGTAGTTTCTTGGGCAATTTCCCTCTTTTTTCCTCATTAGAACAAATTTTCTGGGGAGAAGAGACAGAGTATAGGAGGAGGAAAGAAAGTGGACCTCTTAAAAATAAGCAGTTACAATGTATAGTTTAAACTGATTTCAGGTGGTCTTCATACCCTCTCAGTGGAAACATCTTACTTCACAGGACCTAAGCCCACAGATTTTCTAGAGGAATCAATGAAATTTGTTTTTCGCAAGTTTTGAACACAAACCTGAATGAGCTCAACGTCCACCCTTTCTCAGTTGTGACAGAGTCTAAGTCGACATGGTCACTTTCCCCAGTTCCCATCTTTTCTCCTTCTCTGGCCAGTTCCTCCTTGTCATTCAGAGGTAGAACAGTCAATAGTTCCTATCTTCTGAGAAACAAAACTATGAGACAATAGGTTTATCAGATGTTCTGCTTTGAACCCAGATGAACTTTAATATATATCTCCATCACATCTGAAGTATCCTTCTGGGCCAGTTTTGTGATCTGTCAAAGAGTCCACCAACACCTTTTCTATCCATCTTTTTCCTTGCACTTGGGCCCCTCATGGTGGTGTTCCATGCAGGCGTGAGCCTATTTTCTTGATGGCAGGCTCTCTATCCACCCCATTAGGAGACTTCTTCATTAGAGCAAGGCACACACTTAACTGCCTCACTCCTGATGAATGCACAGGCCCAGCAAGTATTAGGGGGGCTCCTAGCTCCTCCCAGCCATAGAACAAAAGGAGGGGGGAGCAATGTAAAGGTATGGGATGCACTCCCAAGACTGTGCTGAATGCATCTGCAGTGAGTGGAGAAGTTTCCTTCCATCTCACCACAGGCTCTGTGTTATCAGTGACGTCTTGGAATGTGCAAGAAGTCAGGTGGATAAGCATCTGTGGCTATATAGACGGGGGCACCCACAGCCAAGTATGAGTTTTTAATGCGCAAACAACCCAGACCACTAACCAGGCTCTAACTAAGGCAGGATCCAGGATGGGTGGTCAGCACTTGGGGCCAATGCTTATGCTCACCGTTCCAAGTGCCTGAGCCTCCAGGGCAGCTGCCCTTTTGTGTGGGCTTTCATCCCAGGCGCTAAATCACATCCTCCTAGCTCCAACTTGAAAACCAAATTCAGGTCTCCTGTAGAGTCACCAAGTTTCCTGTCCACACTGATTTCCTTCTAACCTCACAGGTCTACCTTGTGCCTCTCACCTAACAACAAAGCCACTTAGCTCAGAGAAGGCTTCAAGAGCAAGTGACTTCCCAAGAAGGTGATTCCTCCCTCACCCTAAGGTTGCACTTGGCTCCAGTACCTACTGAGAAATGGCCAGTTTGATGGATGTAGTTGCCAGGAGTCAGATCTCAGAACCCTTACAAAATTATGCTCAGCTATTCCACAAAGCTTCCCCTAAATAATAAAACAGAGAAGACCGGGAATATAATGAAATAGAAAACCAAAGGGGAAAAAAAGATCAATTCATGTTCCTGTGAGTTGCATTCTCCTACCTCAGGCCTGCTTACTCTCCAGGCTAGGGGAGCAGAGAGGAGGCCACATTATCTCCAGAATAAAGCAGGGCTCCCTGGTACATAAGGGCACAAGAAAAGGACCTCATGGCAAAGACAGAAGCAAATGCCAAGGGCACTATGAACAAGCCACCACTAAATTATAGCAATGTTATACTCTTATTCTCTGTATGTTTCAAAAATTCCACCTCCCACTCTTGTACCACTTGGTCTCAACACTTTATTGTCTAAGTACTTTAAAAACCAGCTAATAGCGGGCTAGGTGGCTCAGCCTGTAATCCCGCGCCTTTGGGAGGCTGAGGTGAGTGGATTGACTGAGCCCGCAGGTTTGAGACCCACCTGGGCAACTTGGTGAGACCTCATCTCTACAATAAATCAAAAATTAGCCGGGCGTAGGCGCGCCTGTAGTTCCAGCTACTTGGAAGGCTGAGGTGGAAGGATCGCCAGAGCCCAGCAGGTCAAGGCTGCGGTGGCCGGGAGCGGCCACTGCACTCCAGCCTGGGCGACAGAGTGAGACTCCAACTCAAAAAACAAACAAACAAACAAAAAAACTAGCTAATATTACTGAGAACTTAAATATACCATATTTGTCATTTTTCAAGGTGTCAGTTACTGTAATACATCTATGGTTCATCTTGAGTGTCTAAGGTGACACACAATACTATTTTTGGCTTACCAATAAGCACCAAATAAAGCAATTTTAAAATTATTTTCCTCGGTCTTTCTTCACACTCAAGTAATTTACTGTTTAGAACTACATTTCAATACACAGTGTATTTGTTTTGCTGAATTCATTCACAATGTACCTGCAGCCTGGATTTAACATATTTCTTGTAGTGACAACCACTCTTATTTGTAGGAACTATTTAGGTCACTGGAGTGGAGAAAAAGAGGTTGCTACTGAATAGAAATGGCATGTATCCAAATATAGATGCAGTTTTCTAAACACCTGTTGAATAGCAAATGATGAAGACAGATTGTTACAATTTCCAACCCTCCCCCACCAAAACCTTAAATAATCAGCCACTTTGTTTCAATTGACATAGGGTTTAACCTAGAAAAACAGGTCTCATTACAAAAGAGAGTGAGCTTTAATATGCTGGCTGCTTTAGAAAAATAAAACAGCCGATTAAAAAAGTAAGATATTTCAGTGTAAATTATTTCCCATTAAAAGTCATTTCAGAGGAAGCGATATGATTTGAACAACAGGACACACACAGTAATTGTGTGCTTTTGGAGACGCGGTGAGCACGACAAATATTTTCAAGTAGTCAAGGGTGAGCGAGAAGGGGATGACCCACCTAAGAAATGGAAACTAACAAACAGTAATGTGACACTCCCCTTCGTTCCACAGGCTAGTGCGCGGCTGCAACACACAGCTCACTTCCTATGGCCAGGCAAAGGCCGCATTGTGCAAGAGCTGAACGAAAGTGGCCTCTTTATCCCCTCCGCGAACACGGTAGTGGGAGTGGGAGGTGACACGTGAGGACCTCCAGGGAAGGAGGCATGGCAATACCCTACTGCTGCCATTCATTCCTTCAATAAATAGTTATGCATCTCTACAGTAAACCAAAAAATCAGCCGGGCGTGGTGGCGCATGCCTGTAATTCCAGCTACTTGGAAGGCTGAGGCGGAAGGATCGCCGGAGCCCAGCGGGTCGAGGCTGCGGTGGCCGGGAGCGGCCACTGCACTCCAGTCTGGGCGACAGAGTGAGACTCCAACTCAAAATAAATAAATAAATAAATAGATAGATAGATAGATAGACAGACAGACAGTTATGCTTCGGGCACTGTGCAAGGGGCTTAACTCTCCAACGAAGACTCCACAGCACATTCAGATAACCCTACATCTCCGCTCCTTTTCCAGCCCTAGGCATCATTCCTTCACCAAGAAATAATGATTATAGCCTCGCGCTCCCTCCCTCGCCTGGGCCCTCAGTCCAGGGTGCCAGCTTGAGTCCATCCAGAGAAACGCCTTCCCGACAGCAAGGAAGGAAAGCTGGGAGTGCTCAGGGGACGAGTTCCGGAAACCCTCCTACCCTCCCGGGGACAGCCAGCCCGGACGCCGGCGGCCGCGCCTGGGGGCGGGGCTGAGGGCACCCGGGCAGCGCGCTGGGGAGGGGGTACCTGAGCTCACACCCATACCAGAGGGGGCAGCAGCGGCGAGGGGCTTCCGCGAAGGACAGGAGGGTCCTCAGGTTGCCTGAGGGCGGCGGGAGGCTGATGACAACACGCGCACACGTGGAGAGGGCCCGCCCAGGTGGTGGGGGCAGGTCCCGACCCAGGCGAGGAGACTGCGGGGCGGGTTACCTGATGAAGGTGGTCTTGCCGGTGCTGTACTGGCCCACCAACAGGATCATGGGCTTGTTCTCGAAGTCGGCGTCCTCCAGCGCCGGCGAGTGGAACTCGTGGAAGCGGTACGCCTCTTCCAGAGGCAGCACCTTGCGCAGATAGAGCGAGCGCAAGCCGCCGGTCACCGTCTGCACCGCGTCGGCGCCGCCCGCGCGCTCGCGCCCGCCCGCCTGCCGCCCCATCCAGCTGAACATCCTGCCGCCCGCCCGCGATCGGCGCTCAGACCCCTCTCCCGGCTCGACCCTCCTCTGCTCGCGCTGAGCCGCCCCGGCCGAGCTCTCCGCCGCCCGAGCCCGGCTCCGCCTCTTCTGCCGCAGCCAATCGACGTCCGCCACGTCACGAGCTCTCGTTCACTATTCAGAAGGCGCTTGCTCGGGTCCTTCCTCATTGGGCCAATGCCAGCGCGGGGTGGAAGCGTCAGCCAATGGAGACCGGGCTCTTAATGAATTATGGACGACGGAGTCCTTCTGGAGGACTGGGCGGAGAGAAGGTGTCTCCCCGTCAAGGGGCGCAGACCGGTCACCGCCTAGGCAACTTGGCCCTTCGCCCTCGTCTGGTAGCTCCGGCTCCACCTCTGGCTAGGTGGCTTCGGCTTCCGGGAAAATCTGAGCTGACCCAAACGAGCCTGGGAGTTTACTCATTCCAGCACGTCCATACTGGGGATGAAAATTTCAGAAAGTTGACAGGCAGGTTCTTGCTTCCCTCTGGCAGGTTATTATGGCCCCATTTTACTGCCGGAGAGACCTAGGTTCATGGACAAACCTGACAAAATCTGAAGGAGGGAAAGTGGACTGGAATCCATTTGGGTAGATATTTCTCTTACTTCTCCATATTGCCTCCACTAAATTCTGGATCCGTTAAAGGCCTTTCCCCCCTAGTTTTCTTTATTTGATTTTCTATGAAACTGAAAATTTAGTCACTCTTATTATTGTTATCCTCGGTTGGGCATGGTGGCTCACACCTGTAATCCCAGCACTTTGGGAGGCCAAGGCGAGAGAGTCGCTTGAGCCCAGGAGTTGGAGACCAGCCTTGGCAACATAGTGAGAGCTCATCTCTACAAAAATGGAAAAATTAGCTGGGCGTGGTGGCGTGCACCTGTAGTTCCAGCTACTCGGGAGGCTGAACCCAGAAAGTTGAGGCTGCGGTGAGCCACGAACCTGCCACTACTCTCCAGGCTGGGTGACAGAATGAGACTCTAACTAAAAAATATATATGTTATCCTTGTCATTACAATCTTTTTTTTTTTTTTTTTTTTTTGAGTTAGAGTGTCACTCTGTTGCCCAGGCTGGAGTGCAGTGGCACACTCACGGCCACCCCAGCATTGACCGGCTGGGCTCCGGCAATCCTTCTGCCTCAGCCTTCCAAGTAGCTGGACAACGCCTGGCTAATTTTTGACTTATTGTAGAGACAAGGTCTTGCCAAGTTGCCCAGGCTGGTCTCAAACCCGCAGGCTAAGG